TTATTTTTTATTTTTAGATTAATTGTTTATTTACTTTCTTTATAAGAGTATTATAATTATCAGAACGAGGGTGCAAATGTTAAAAATAGCGCTAATAGCGGGAGGGGGAATCGGAAAAGCTACACTCCTGAATTGATGTATAATCTGACCAATTAAAGCCCTTGCTGTCTGCGTCGCCTCGACGCGTAGTTACAAATTTTTGGAGGTGCACGTCGAGCTACGGCGGAGGGGTCGGAGAGGGGTTCGCGTCGACGGATAGGGGTCTGCGGGGGTACGCCGTCGATTCGACGCAGAAGCATAAAACAGGCTTAAAGGCGTATGTTTTCGATTGTTATCAATGGAAGCACCGCATTTTTTAAACGCCATGAGCGTAACGAGGCGCTGAGCGTTTTTTTTTTCACGCTGAAGCGCCGAGCACCCAACATTTTTTATTGGTCGCCGAGAGTTGAAAAATTTTCAACTTTGGATAAAACGCCACGCTAATCACTGTCACTTTTTACCCAGACGTCCAATCACAGTGGAGGAGGGGCAGGACTAATACCACACTGACCAACTGTCACAACATTCTTTCTGTACAACGATATCAACCAGCAGAGCTAACCCAACAAAATGGATGAAAAATACATTTTTACTATGAAACTAATTATCTGCGAAATCAGTTACATACAGCGCATATTCTGTATCATAGCAACGAAACGTCTCAACGGAAAAAAACGCTGCGCTGCCAAAACGCTCTCAAGTCTTCAGCACAGCGTCTGCCGTTTTCAGCGGGCTAAAAATGCTTTGGTGGACACACTGCCTTATGACACAGTAACAGCTCATATTAGCCGCTAAACTTTTACTACCTTGTTAGAAAAAATGTATAGTTGCATAGTTTGATGTGGTTCTTCTCCCTTGCTGTATTATGGGTTTGTTATGTGGGGAGAAATGTGCTGGTTACGTTTGTGAGACAATCAGCTGATTACTATTATTATATTATACAGTATATTAAAACCCTTGATCCTCACCTGACTATGACTTTGTAAACTTTATCCATGATGTGGTTTATAATGGACTGTAGTACAGAAACAGTGACAATGTTACACACTCTTGGCTTACTCTGGCTATTCTCTGCTGTCTCAGACGATATGTTTGTCCCATTTTTAGCCACCGTAGCTTCTTCGAAAGGGATGGCTGAGCCCTTAGTGTAACTCGCAACCGAACCACTAGATGCCGCTAAAAAATACACACTGCACCTTTAACATACACATTCATATTCAATTTTGGATTTGGATTCTTGCTGCCACGGATACCAAATCTGGTGTTCAGAAAATCTGAAACACAAGTCACAGGGACCGCTCTCATGGTTTTATTTAGTTGGTAGCCTGTGGTCACTGCAGCATGAACATCTCCATTTGTGCTCCATGGAAGAAAGGACTAGAATGACATAAGCGTGCAAAAGTGATGACACCCATTTTGGGTGAATTCTTCTCAAGGCTGCAATAATGATAGAACATGAATCACCCTTTTCGAAGTTCGAACCTGCAACCTTTCCCAGATATTGAACCACAAAGCGACACCACCCACATTTCTATCTTTCCTGGTCTAGCTTTCCAGATCTCTCTGCTCTATCTAGTGTTATGAAAAGTGTAATCTGTCACTTTTTCTCTCTCTGCCACACATACACACCAGAATAAGGCAGGAGTGTCTTCCACTGTGATCTTCATGTGGAGAGCAGCATGCTTTGAATCATGTGCTCTCACATGAGCATATGAAGACAAATGCCCAGCACTGTGTGAGATTTATAAACACACCTGCTACATCGATCTTCATCAGGACCAGACGAGACATGATGGGAGAAATGTTTTGAGAAGATAATAAAAGATGGGCGTGTGTATCAAGGTCAAAAAATAGGGCCGAATATAACTATTGGCTCAAACAATGGCATTTCAAGAAATTCGCGATTAGCTGTTTGGCTGAAGAATAGAAGAGAATAGGAATTGAAATGGCCATAGAAATAAATCAACCGAATTTCAGAAGATTTAACTATTGTATCGTGGAAATTTCACCAAATATACGAATTCACCAAAGCGTAAAACGAATTGGCATGCGAGTGTGTTGGATCAATCGCAAAGCTTTGGTTCTGAATGCTGAATCAAATATGATTTTATAATATTTTGTTTTATTTGAAATTGTTGCCCTTTAAACTGACATTCACATTCAAATTTGTGTGAATGACAGAATAGCGATTTGGTCTGACAGCATTCAGGAGACACAAAGACAGAAATGAAAGAGTGCAAGTACTCCACGGGACAAAGAGATGCATTAAGGGATGGCGTGAGAAAGCGAAAGAAGGAAGCGAGACTGATGGGTGAACTCAAAGGGAAGAGTGGGAGAGATTAAAGGAGGATTGGAGGATAAAGTGAACAGTTCAAAAAAGAGCAGAGAATACATTAAGACAAGGAGAAAGATAAGAGAGAGGGAGGCTGAAGGAACGTGACTGAGATGTAGGTGGAAGAGAGAGGTTGAAAGGAAAGGTTCGCCCAAACTTCATTTATTCAAAACCGTCTCTTTCTTCCATGAAACACAAAAAATGTCCTGGTTGCTCTTTTCCATGCAATTTACAATAGTTTCCATGCTTTAAAAAGAATGCAAAAGCACCCTAAAAGTATCATGGGGCACATGACTTGTTCATTATGATTAATCAGAAACTGAACTTGATCATTCAGATGTGTGAACAAATTGTTCATATGAATTATTGTACAAACCACTGTTTTTGAGTCAAATCTTTTCAAAGAATCCGTATGAATGATTTGTTCACGAATCGAACAGATCTAGTTCACAAGTTCAACTCGCTGATTCAATGATTCATATATATGATGCACTATATGCGCCATCTGTACTATTACAACACATTTGTGTAATTTTGAAAATTGAAAATAAACATTCATTGGATGGAAAAGAGTTGCACAATTCAACTTTAAGATCTTGATTTAAACAACTCACCTAAATGACTCGTATGTGTCTATTAGCGGGTCTTGGGCGCTGTTGCTATTTAACTGGCGGGATAAATGACTCTTGCATGAAAAAATGTGATTCAATTTTCCCAGTATTGTGCAGCTCTAATGAAAAATGTCTACTATTATGTCATACAGATTGATAATGACAAGAGGGTGTTTAAATTATCATAGATTTTACATTTTCAGCTGAACTACCCCTTTAAAAAGCAGCTCAGGAAAATAAGGTGACGATGACTAAAGAAATTAGCAAAAGTGGAACAGGGCAGCAACCATTAATGGGGCAAAGTTTTGACCCAGAAAACAGAGATGCACATGTCTCTTTTTGTCTGTATTAGAGGAATGTTACAGATTTAGTGTCCTCACTGTAAACTACAGTTGTGTCACTATAGTGCCTCTAGATTTCGACATCTTCTGAAGAAAATGTGTGGTGTGGTGTTTGCCGATGCGAAACTCGCTGCTGTGGTAGTGGGGTGTTTTGGGTGGTTGCTAGGGCTTGCGGTGTGGTTGCTGGGGTGTTCAAAGTGGATTTTAGTGGACTGAGTGCGGTTGCTATGGTGTTCAGCACAGGGTGTTGTGGGTGGTTTCTTATTGGCCTAAGTCAAAAGATTTCACCCTCAAGCCTCTTTCTAGTCTCTAAATATAGATTGGGTCCTTCCGTCAATCTAAGCCAATTTCTGCATTCCAATTTTCATACTATCCGTTCCGTTCTAAATAGTATTCGAAATTATAATTAGTGTCTTCTAAATCGTGGTATGTTGTAAGTGTTCCAAATGGTCTACTGGCACGAATAAAAAGTGTCAGAAAACTACAAACATTGCGGATGTGCGAGTCAGACGGTTAAGGAGTGTGGTTTAGATAAAGGGGTTTGAGTGATTAATAATCAGTATCTGACCTGACACATGAGGAGAGTCTCGCATGAAAGACCCACGACTGGCATGACCGGATGCGTGTGACTAAGCGAGAGAGCTGTCCGTTAAAGATGAAGTAGCACCTTTAGTACTTTCCAAAGCTTGCCTAGTCTTCAGCTACACACTCAGAAGTATTTACTTTTCTTCACCAAAAAACAGTACATACTTTTAGGGCATAGTTAAATGATTAGTTCACTTTAAAAAAAAAAAAACTTTTGCTGATAATTTACTCACCCCCATGTCATCCAAGATGCCCATGTCTTGGATGAACGCGCTTTACAGAACAGAGTAAGGCGACCTTTTGAGCTTATGAAACTTAAACTTTGTTTTTGTTTTTTTTAAATGAGTGATCGTTTCGCTTGATAAGACCCTTATTCATCGTCTGGAATCGTTTAAAGCCCTTTGAACAGTTTGCAGTTTGCACTGAAACTCTCATTTAGACCTTTAACCGTTTGGTTCCCACTGAAGTCCATTATATGGAGAAAAATCCTGGAATGTTTTCATCAAAAACCTTAATTTTTTTTTGACTGAAGAAAGAATGACATGGACATTTTGGATGACATGGGGGTCATGTGACAACTACTCCTTTAAGTAGACAGATTGGGATGCAGCATATGAGATTTTTTAGACAAAACAGAAAACTGTGTAGAAAAGTAACAGCACCCTTCTCAACAAACTGCATAATTTGAGGTATAATCCCTTTTCATAACACAAACTATGTGGGACAAGTTAGTACTTTGGTTAAATCCCTTACCATAAGTACTATCAATATTTCATACATCAGTCTGTGTGAATTATATATATACATATTCAAATTCCTCCATAAATAGAGCACTTGCAATCATAAAAGCAAAGTGTGTGTAAGCGATGCTGTGAGCATCAGCCTTCAGAGTTTTGTCATAATCTTACAAAATGTGAGTTTTGTAACAAAAGTTTGAGTTGTTTGTGTGTGCGTGTGTTGTGTAATAACCTTAGGATCAAATGTCAAAGCTTTGTGTGGTGCCTGCACACTTGAGTATGTACCGTCAGCATGTGTAGTATGTAGTGTGTGTAGGCTGTTACTGAAAGTGTTTCCAAGGAAACACTGATGTACCTCTGCTCTGGGTGCGGAGAAAAGGTCCGTTTTGGACTTCACGGTTTTTCTAGTGAGAGAGAGAGAGAGAGAAGAAAGAGCATTGTGAACTTCAGATGAACAGAAGAAGAAGAAGAAGTGGTTTTTACAACATTTTATTACAGTTTTCAAAGACAAGACAGTCAACGTGAAAGTCTGACAAGCCAAAGAAGAAATGTATTGCTCTGAAGTTTATCTATTATAGTTACAACGACTCTGGGTCGTTTAAATATCCACTGCGTCTCAAATGGTTCTCGTAAAACGCCTTAACTCATGTAACACCTCCGGTCCTACTCGACCCGCTCCAAGCAGGATTTGAACCGGTGTCTCTAGCATGGGAGGGATGTGCGCTAACAAGAACGCAGCCGCTAGCGTCAGTCGCTAATGCACATCTTGAGATCAGAGGAGTGAGGTTTACATGCACATCTCGACAAGTCAAACCACGAACGCCGTTCATACAGTTCAGAAGTTCGATGAACTTCATACAGTTCAGCTCACTTAGCACATCGTTCGTGGTTCAACTAGTCGAGACTGTTTTCCAAAGATGGCGCCGTCTGTATACGCGAAGTGAACTGTCTTCATTAAGTATCTTCTTATTGAACGGTCTGTACGCTTACAAAGTTCCCAATGCTTTGTTTTGCATGCATGGATCCTCATTATATTACTGTGTGAGTGTGGGGCTATTTTGAGCCTTGTTAGTGGTATTAACTAGCGATTTCTTTTTACTTATTAAATGCCCCCATTACGAGCGTATACGCTAAACGGTTTTTAGAGATAAAACTCTTTACATTCGATTATCATTAAAAAAACAAATCTCAGAGAACGGTTGAATAGGTACCGATGTGTTATTAGACCAATGGTTCCGGAGTTCTCCTTTTAAAGCATATTAAAAAAAAAAACATAGACATAAACATAAACTTGATTTAACTACAGGGGGACTTTAAGCAAAAGTCTCCACTTAATCACATTACTGTCTGGGAGAAACAAGAAATAAGAAATTACAAATATCTCCTTTGTGGTTTTCCTTCCTTATGTAAAGAGCTGACTGACAAAAGCCACAGAACTTTTCTTTTAAATAATGGCAGTAGGAAAAGTTAGCAGAAAAGCAGTATCTTGTAAGTAAGCAGTGAAGTGCTGAAAGGAGAAATGAGGGATTGTGGGAAGGCTCCTACACTCTGCGTGTGGGGGGCCGCAGGCGGCGCAGGGCCCGGGGGACCTGTTGGCTGTCCAACTCGGTCTGGTAGAAAAACATCCGTATCAGATCATCCAAAAGTACCCAGGTAGGCAGACAAAGCAACCTCTAACAAAGAGAGAGAGTTAAACGGCATGTATAGTAGGATGGTTTTTCGTGGAAATTAAATGAGGTCATGTTTGTTTCAGATGAATGTCATATTTAAATCCAGTAATGAATGCTATTAAACACAAAGCATCATTTGAGATGTGGTGAAAATGACACAATGCTGGGAATTTCCATATTTTTTTACAAAAAAGTATCTATCTTGAAGTCTACACGAGAACTGAAGTTAAGCTGACAGACAGTGACTAGATGTAAAAAAAAAAAGAGAAGTAATGAAAAAGGGAACAGCTGTCGGGATAACTGGAACTGTTTTACAACCAACGAAGCACAATTACCAAACACAACTCCCACCAATACAACATAACCAGGATACAACCGTAATCATTTACAAAATTTCAAGACTGACTCACCTTCATGTAATTGTTGAGCTCTGGGATTCTGCTTTCTGCAATCTCCTTTTTGTTTCCCATAAATACCTTACCTGAGGCGAAACAAACAAGCGGAATGAATAAGTATTTAAATCTCAAAACAAATTAGTTTGTAAACTAAACAATCAAAAGCTAGCCGAAGGGTGCATCTGTATCTCTTAACTGCTAAAGCTAATTGGCACTTAACGTAATGTGCGCCCCAAATAATACGCTAAATTACTTTCTCATTTCTATTTTTGATTTCACCCAATGGAAATGTTAATAATGTGCGTGTTGGACAATGTTGCGAGGTCTGCGAGTAGCACCAGAGGGTCATCTTCAAACACACTTTATGGATCTGATTAGGAGGGAAGAAAAATGAAAGTGGATCCATTCATACAAGCTAGTTTAAATTAAATTTTAATACCATTTTAATGGCCATGCAATAATTCCCTTTCATCCTAAATAAATCTCCTTCTAATTCTCATTGCGGTCTCACAAGCTGTCTTGTCTTTTCTAATACACTTCTTTATTATACATGTTAAATAAGCATCAATAAGATCTGAGTGCAAGCAAAGAGACGTCCCTTTATACCATATCAGAGCAAGAAAATGTCCTCATTTAAACTTTCCAGTTATCTTTACTTTGCATAACATAATCATATTACTCATTGACTCGCGCAATCAAAAGTCATAAAGACAGTAACATCCAGGGCTAATTTTAATATAATTGGGCTTGATTAATATGACTCCACTGGGTTCAGGTTTAGCTGGTAGTGAGCTTTGAAGAAGCTTCGTTGGAAATTCAAGGACGGACAGTGAAGCCTGTCGGCTCACAGACTTTTAGATGACCTTAATGAAACAGTGCCAAAGAACGACCTCTCCTTCCTGCTCAATTCAATTATATGCATATTTGTTTGGTCAAAGACAGAGAAAGGGACAGACAGGGAAAACGAACCTGAAACAAAGAGAGAGAGAGAGAGAGACAGCAAGAGTGCTGAGACATAAGGCCGATTAAAAAGGGATCAGAGAAGAAGTTAAAGACATTAGAGACTAGATTGAAACTAGAGTAGATAACACTACTACGATGATGCAGGTGACGTTACTACTTCTACTGTTGGGTTGGTGTTGAATCAAGTACTGGTTTTAATCAGACAGTTCCGTTTTAAAATAATGACCGATGATGACGTTGGGTTCTATCATTTCCCAAGTGGTTTCAGACATTTGTGACCTTTCAAACCAATTCAAACAAGTTTGAAAACCGTTTTAAGGCGTTTTTCTTTCTGTGAGGATGAATAAAGCAGAAGGATATGGGGACCGTCAAAAGGATGCTACCCATCTCATTTTCCTAACAATGCTTCTTTGCTGTTCCCCCTCCCAATCAGAGTTCTGGTTAATCAGTAACTTTGTGGGAAACACTTCAAGTATTCAAAGGACAAAGTCACCTAAGGAGTGATCTTTGAACTTTTTGCATTGAAGAGAATTGGGATAACTGGCAACTGATTACAGTGGGTTGTGGGACAGTGGAAGTGAGGTAGTGGTTAGGCCAAAGGGCAACCACAAGGAATGATCCATGATCCGATGTTTTGAGATCTTTCTTCCAACCCTACAACTGGTTCCTTCTAGCCTGACTTCATCATACACATATTCTATTGAGAATATGAGTCTGAAACAGCTCCGTTAGGCTTTGATTATGAGGCGTATCTTAACCGAACCAGGAAAAAAAAACTCTGCACTCAATTGGATAGTCGGTAAACGTACAACCAATCAGAGCAACGCAGTAAGTCAACTACTTTGCATAGCGCCGTTTTCAACTACAGAACTTACTTACTTTTGAAGTAAAATAACGAGTGTTGCTTCTTTACTTACTTCTCCATGAGTGCGACCAAAGGAGAAACCACAACGACCACAGGCTTTTCATTACGTCCCATCTTCTTAGCGACCGTCAGAGCCAGCTGATAAGTTACACTTTTCCCGAATCATGTAGGAAGGACGCCAAAAATATCTTTCCAATCGACAAATGCCTTGATTGCAGTTCTCTGTTTGTCTATTAAAATGAATGCGCTGTCGATTTATTTTACAACAGACGCAACAGCGGAATCTATACATCTCAATTCTCCAGCTGCAGTCATCGCTGAGGGAAACCAGTTAGCGCTCTTTGATAACGTGACGATTACGTCCTTGCAGATCTTCTGTCAATCATAATCTAAAGCCCACCCTGGCAATTTGATTGGCCCGTTCATTATTTGACTGATCATAATTTCTCCTCAATGGATCGAGTCCAGACCGAACTTCCCGACCAAAAAATGTTGTGGGCGGAGTTCGGGCTGGCATCCAGGATAGGTTCCTTCCTCTAGCCCAAGAGTTTCCAATCCTGGTCCAGGACAGCCAACAATCCTGCAACAGTCCTGTTGTTTACCACCAAGCAGAGAAGCGACCAAACATCTCCACATTTTCCCTATTTAAATACACTTACACGAGTAGTGTAACTCGACCAAGAATAGTGACACAAAATAAAACGTGCTTTTCTAAGTGTGTAAAGTGGATAACTATATTGTAGGTCCAAGGTCCGAACCAAAGTTCATGTTTTGATACATTTTATACTTTAAGAAAGTTTTGGTTTGGTTTCACACTGCAATAATGCGAGCGCACTAAAGAACTTTACGTGACATATCCTTTATCCAGACCGAGACTACCTCTTTTCGTCAGACCAAATTTCATTTGTTTTGTTGGGGAGGTTTCACACCTATTATTTTGATACGTATCAAACTGAAAAGTCCGAAAGTCCGGACCGAACAAGGTAGGTGTGAAAGGGCCCTGAGAGAGGGAGAGACTTTTCACGAGTGATGATATATATGCGCCCAGTCGAAGTGCTCCTAAGCACTTGCTGCGGTATTCTGCCATACATTATAGTTATCCACTTTACACGCTTAGAAAAGCGCAACTTTTTATTTGGTGTCATCACTCTTGGTCGATTTACACTACTCGTGTAACTGTATTTAAATATGGAAAACGTGGAGGTGTTTGGTCGCTTCTCTGCTTGGATCCTATTGAATGAACTGGGCTAAGTTAAGTGCTATCAAAGTGTCTCGCGCGCCAGAGCGATTGACGAGATAGGTATGTATCAACTCGTCTTAGTTAAGGGAATAACATAGTTTAATATGAAAAAAAACGGTGGAGTATCCTTTAAATATGTAATTTTGGAGTTTTAAGGGATAAAATTATTGACTACACGGGACTTTAAAGCCTTGGAAGCTGAAGGTCGTGCTAATAGTAAGGGGCGTTACATTTCCAACACACACTTGAGGTGTTTGGCTGATCACAATGCACTGGATCAGCTTGACAATCAGAGTGCTCTGAGCTTTTCAGAAGGAGGGGCTTTGCAGAAAACAGCGTTTCAGACAGACTTGGACAGAACTGCAATAATGTACAGTATCTGAAAAAATATGCTTTTGAACCATTAAAGCATGTAACCCTGCTCTATTAGACCAAATAAACATTTAAAATAGCTTCATATGACCCCTTCAAGCAAGAACTTTTATGGACTATGGAAATTAACCAATACATATTACTAACTTGTCGTTCAATTTAGTTCTGTACACACTGCACAAAGAAATTGACAAGTGGAGCTTTTCGGGTGTTGAATTCGGTTATAGAATGTGTCTGTCACTCTGAATGGGACTAAGCACTTACAGTAGTATAGAACAGAAGTAAAAATGGCTTCATTATGTATGTGGGCATGTGCTAGTGAAACTAGATTTCCTCAGATCTCTATCACACTGTTATTTAGTGGAGGCTGTGCAGCTGCTTGGTCACAGACCTGGCAGGACAGGTAGTTGGCAGGTGTAGTATCCCGTCTGGGCTTCAGATGAGTACTTCAGCTCCAAACTCTGGTGCAGAGCGAAGAACTGTCGATACCTTCTGTAGATCAGGTACTTACTGTTGCCTTTGGTCTTCACCTCAATCACGAACATCTGCAGGAAGATGATAAAGAAAAAACAAGTCAAAGACTAGGTGTGTGGTAGCGTGATCATCAAACAACAACATTGAGATGCAATACAATGGCACAATAGACATCAGTCTGACACATGTACATGTAGGCAAATAATTCCACAATGAATCCCCTTAGGACAAAATGTAAGATTGACATTTTATACTGGAGATATCTTTAAACTATATTCTTTGTAGGACTGTTGGTTAAACACAAGCCATAGGTTCAGTTGGGCAGACTATAAGGCAGAAAAATGATAGAAGAAAAGTAGAGAAGAAGAACGATTAACCACAGGGTTCAGGGAACTCACAAAGTAAACAATGAAACCTTTCTTCTCTTCGATATCAGCAATGGTTGCAGTGACTGGAATGTTGTCTGGAAGCTGGTCGAAATCACTGTAGGGTGAACAAATGTTACAAACATTTTGATTATCACAGAAAATATGTTGTTGTTGCTGTTTTTTTTTTTTAAATCAAAGGTACATTACTGGAATACAGTAATCTTTTTTTTGTGCACACATACTAAATAACTTATAATTCATATAGTCTTTGTCGAGACACTTACATGTTTTTGTAATTATATTATTATTAAGTAAAATTTGTTTATGATTTAAGATTATATTAAAGTTGTCCGAATATACTTTTTGAGATGGGAATAATTAACATTATGCAACAAATTAGCTTATACTGAAAACGTTCATTTACCCCACTTTGGAGGTTCATCTATTTATTTATTTTTTTCGTGATTAGTTCTGTACATCATACAGTAAGGCATGCGGTGGACAAGTCTGGACTAGTATAGTTTTAGTGTACTACACTAGACTAGTAGTTTCATAGAATACTCAAAGGTGCAATACAGTAGATTATAGTGTAGTAGTAGCTAGGCAAGTACAAGATTAACTGGGTTTGTGCACTTACACTAGTGTACTTAGAGAAAGTACTGGGTAATATGAGGTGTTACATGTAACATGGGTTAAGGTTTGGTTAGTTTAAGAGGTAAGGTTAGGTTTAACTGGGATACCCAGTTATTGTAATTACTACAATAAGTAGCTAGTAGCCGTACATTGGGAACAGGACTGTAACAATAAAGTGCTACCATGAACCGAGTAGTACACAAATACTACGCCCTGAAAGTGTTTCTTCTATGGTTTCATGAATATTCATGAGTAAATGGTAATAAAGACATGATTCCACTCACCTTTCATCGCGCAGCTGTTGAGGGAGAGACATGACGGTAGATTCAGAGCTCTTCACAGAGAGGCAGACAGAGAGACTGCTCAGTAAAGTGGAAGTGAAGCTGCTGGTGGTTTTCTGAGGCGGGTTTACAGTTGCACGTACATCCAACGGGAACTGAAAGAGTCTTTAGTATTATAATGAGTTCAAGCGTTTTCAGTGGGTTCAGAAACAGCACGACGTAGCCTATCTCAAAGGTATGAGACGCGCTTGAAATGTTTAAAGTGAAAACAAACTTTTTTTTTAAATAACACGGAAGAATATAAATAAATAAAAACTCAGCACAACCAGTGCAAAGTGCATTATATAAGAACGCGCCTTGTAACGCCCACTTACCAAGAAAGAAAGAAAGAAAGAAAGAAAGAAAGAAAGAAAGAAAGAAAGAAAGAAAGAAAGAAAGAAAGAAAGAAAGAAAGAAACCTGTAATACTAGTATAGGCTAGCTATAGGATATTGTTTGTTTATTTGTTCTTTTATTTGATAGGGACAATGCTCATTATCATCAACAAATTACATGCTGTTTAACAAGGCAGAGTTAGCTACGAGTGCTAGTTTCCATCTGTTGTCCCTTAGCAGGCTCCCTAAAATACGAAAGTCAATAAAGGTACACTATATAGCCTACATTTAATAAATTCAGTAGCAATATGATACATTTCAGAAACAATATAATCATAAAGAGAGAGAGAGAGAGAGAGAGAGAGAGAGAGAGAGAGAGAAAAGAAATAATAATAATAATAATAATAATAAGCATATATATATATATATATATATATATATATATATATATATATGAAGAGTTCAGATGCAAAAGCCTCTAAATGCCATTTGAAATTTTCTTCTTTAATGATGATTTTTATCAAGCTTGTATATTTAAGTTCAGTAATTTCACTTAAATGACAATGATAATTACCTATTAATTGTTATTTAAGTGAAATTACTGAACTTAAATATACAAGTTTAATAAAAATCATCATTAAAGAAGAAAATTACAAATGGCATTTAGAGGCTTTTGCATCTGAACTCTTCATATATATATATATATGAAGAGTTCAGATGCAAAAGCCTCTAAATGCCATTTGTAATTTTCTTCTTTAATGATGATTTTGTAACATCATTTGTACATACACTTGTAACCATACACTTGTAACCATACATCCAATACTTAGGTTCATAATATGTGTACTGTATGTATATATATATATATATATATATATATATATATATATATATATATATATATATATATATATATATATATATATACATACAGTACATATATATTATGAACCTAAGTATTGGATGTATGGTTACAAGTGTAATTGTCCCCAATCCAAGACTTAAGTTGTTTTTAAAAGAGTTATATATTACTATAATTATATATTAATAACAATTTCTCCATGTTGTTGATTCATTCTCGTTATGTGGATTGAACCATGACTAGAAGATACACATACCGGTAAGCTACATAAATTCTTCAACTATTACCATTCAGAAATATTGTCTACATATCTTTCTGACTCTGGTTTGAGCATAAAAGGCTAAACGTTTTTGAAATTTTCAGTGTGTGTGTGGCCCTGTCCCAAATGGCACACTCCGGACTTGTGGACTTCCTCAGAGTCAACACTTTGCTGACGTCATGTAATGTAGACCCATAGGTCCCTTAGCGCGAGTCCACAAGGGCGTATTGAGGGGTATTTTTGGGACAGACTCGATCGTCACGCTGGAAACAGAAAGAAGGTGTGGTTGTTGTTGTTGTTGGACAGGACCTGCGGGTGGATGTGCTGCAGATTGTTGTTGTTTTTGTTTTTACTTTCGTTTTTGCAAGATCTTTCCATGCAGAGAAATCATATGTTTGCGCTCAGACGCATTCCTCATGCCTGTGAAAGCCTTATCCCTCTCCATACAGAGCTGAATAAACAGGTCATCTCATCAGTCTATTTATTAGAAAAATATCACAAATATCGTTAAAAAAAATTATAGTCTTTAGCACCGAAAACAGGATTTATTTAAATGTCCATGTGAACTACAGCCTGCTTTTACAGTTCTATAATTGTATGCCACCTGGGCATTAGAATAGATGTCATGGGATGTAAATGATAATGCTGTATAATAATACATAATGTTCAATTTTAACGCAAAATGAAAATGCATAGGTTTCATACTACGTTTATATGACTCAGTAAAGCCATGACATTCAGTTCTATTTATGTAATGAATCATGATCCGATCGTATTATTTTAACGCGCTATTATTATGTTTGAGATATCAACCACTGGTCGATAATATTTAGTAACAACTGGTAAAATGTACGCCTATGTCATAAAAACCATAATGATACTTAAATATTCTTTTCTTAGCCATGTTAACAGTGCGTGAACAAACAAACAGAATTTTGATAAGGCCACTGTAATGTTTATCTGTGTTAAATACTATGTTCACTATTGTTTTAACAAAATAAATTTGTTAAAAAAAAACATACTGCCTATTTGGGAAAAAATACTTTTGTACTTGATCGTAAATACAATTTAAGTCTATGATAAATAGCAGCAAGGGGGTTTAAAATGACATGAGGTTGAGTGGAATTTGTATTTAATATTTGGCTGAACTATTCCAAGCCTAAAAAACAGCAAAATTAAAGGCTTGTGAAGGATTGAGATGCAGTTATAATCAGTGACCGCTAGGTGGCGGCAAACAGAACAGACAATATGCAAAGTAATGATTTAACGATCTTACATAGATTATATTCCTCACGATGTTCTCTAGTATGCAACAGTCGAATATAAAATAATAAATATTTATATATTTTTTTTTAAGATATTGTCCAAATATATTTAATAAAGCAAAATTTAGTCCAGACTATTCCGATCTGACTCTTGCAATATACTGTAATGACCTGGCAGTCAGCGCCAGCAGCTGGGTGCATTATGGTAATTGTTTATTGAGAGTTGATTTATGTGTTATTACAGTAAGATCTTTAAGTTTTTGTTATAGTAAAGTTATGTGTGTTAATGTTCAAGTTAGATCAGATGTTCTTGGTTCATTTACTGCCTAATGTAAAAATGTGTCTCTCACCGTCATGGAGAGAGATGTGTAAGGCAATAGGGACTTGCCTGAGTAGTTTTCTCTGTGTTGTGAATTAAAAGTGGAATAGACAGTGTTATTGCTTATTGTTTAATAAACAAATGTTCCACCTGTGGAAACACTCTGGGTCGTGTGGTGTATTGGGCATCACATGAGTGTTCTTATCTCATGTTAGGAGTTAGCTTAGTTAAAGTGTTATTAGCATAATTTAGCTCTGGTTAGACCTACGTTTTATTTGATAGCTACCAGTTATTACAATACTTTACTGTTCTGTACGTATTACTATCACTCTACAAATGTTCTTCTAAGATCCCTTGAACCTGGGAATGCCAAAAATGTCCTGGCAGTTTTAATTCAAGAGGCACCTTACAAAATTGCAATCATATATGTTGAGCACATAAGCACTACAATAAGTTCAAGGTCATTGGCAGCTGTGATGTTTCCTTTCAGCTCCAGGGAACATGTGTGAGTGTGTGTGTGCAGTGTTGCCAACTAATTCTCAGTGGAAGTTGCTAAAGGCAGGTCGATTTGTTGCTAAAATTTGCTAAATGACATTATGACGCCATTGCGCTATGACATCATTACGTAATCCCAACGCAAAACTATGCCATTATGTAGATATTATTTGTAGTAAAAAAAAAAAGGGACACAGCGATCCCATTGATTTCAACGGAGAGAACTGAAGCCCAATTGATGCATCCACTTCCTGAATGCCAAGCGTACTGTAAAATAGAAAACAAATATTATCAAAATGAAAGAAAATAAGCTTTCTGGACAAAGAAAATGAAATATAATTTTAGGGCTTAGGGTCATTTTGACCCGTGAGGGAAAGATGTCACAAACTGTGACAAGAGCCAGAGCAAATACTTTACATTGTATTAGAAACAACACAGAAACAAACTATCTGTGAAATGTAGGGGTGTAATGGAACACAAAATTCATGGTTCGGTTCGTCTTGCAGCGATTATATTACTTCAATAGCAAATTCAAATGCTTTCTTTACTGGATGTCTCCACGCTGTGTAGTAACCCTGCTGCTTGATTAAGATCGACTTGTGCTGCATTGGTCCAAACTGATAAACAGTCCGTCAACCACACAATAACGAGTAGCTCAGCTTCGTACCTTACATTACATTTGTCATTTGATGTTGCGCAATGTTGTGGTCGCGCCAGCATCTCGAGTGCAGTTGCGCCTACATTTGAAATAGCGAAATTTTGCTCGGAAGGAAAAATGGTCAAACAAACCGAACCGAAAGCATCATATCGAACGGTTCGATACGAATACGTGTATCGTTACACCCCTAGTGAAATGAGATACTAGTAAGCATCTCAACTGAAAAAAAAAAAAAACGTCTCCGGTTGCTTTCACAACCTCGGTTCCCTGAGAGGCAAGGAATTTCGACATTACGAATGTCGTATATGGGAGCTCCTCTCCTACTCCACTTTTGCTGAAATCTTATAGGCTAATGCCAGCCAAGCTGGCCAATTGGCGCAAATATGCAAATACTGAACACGTTGCAATATTAAAGCAGATGCTGCGTCAACATTCATCAGAATCGAACAAACGCTACAATAAGTGGCGAACACGGCTGCGAGCATAATGTCTCGTTCGTGAGCCACAGGTGTCTTTGGAGAACCACCAAGAACCCCATGGAAGGGCGCTTCGTGGCCAAGAGCGTGAGGTCCATGGCTGAGCGAAGATCTTGAATGGCGTCAGCGTAGACAGATGTGGCCTGCATAACCTGGAGCACGGCCATGATGTGCAGCGCAGATACCGCCTCCCCTGCCACTCTGTAGGCCTTGTTCGCCTGGTGGGCCACGAATCTGCAGGCCCTGGACGGCAGGCTGCAGTACGATTTCAGGGCGGGAGCCGATGGGCAGAGGTGCGGTCTCCTCGGCGGGGGGTTTGCGGAGGTGACCATGTTCCCCCGCCTGGTCCACGGGGGCAAACATGGCCTGGGTGGAAGTGAGGGTGCGCACCGATTGTGGGGACGCCCACGATTTCACGACGTGTTTGTGCACGTCAGGAAAGAACGGGGTTCCTCTCTTCGAAGCGGCCTGGCGGCGGCTCGATTGAAGGACCCACGTGTTGAGCTTGCTCTTGGAGGGCTCATCCGGGGCCTTCTAAGAGAGGTCCAGTTCCTCGACGGCCT